TTTATGGCCACATTAAGCAGAACAGAGTCAGGACTCATGATGGTACATTCACTGGTGCGAATTTGGTCGAAGACCAGCTTTGCTACCCTGATATTTTAGATGAAAGGCCTTGATACATCAGCAAGTGATAATATTAGGTCCTAACCCTCAGTATGGAGTAGCCTCCTGGGTGTGTCGTTTAATGTGTGTGTGTGTGTGTGTGTGTGGTGTGATGACTGTGTTGAGCGGAGTGAAATGCTCAACCACATAATTCCCCACTCCTCCGATAATTAAAAGGGGATTTCAGGCTGCCTGCCTCCTACAGTGTCTTGGGAAGGATGAATAGCGGTGATCGATGTTTGTCAGGTCTAATGATGCACACTAAGGGTGAGTTTCGTCGTGGGAGTTATTTCTTGGAGCGCAAACACACAATACTCACCGGATGTTAGCCATTGTGTGTGATTCTGCTCACCGGCGGTTTTTTCGATTCCGGCTTTTACCTGTTTGTGTGATAACAGCAGTTTGGGGCGAGGAAGTGATGTCGACCTTTAATGTTTTTTTCTTGTATGCCATTTTTTATTATGCGTTTTTCCTATTGTTTACTGTGTAGTTTGTACGTTTTTTTCTTTGTTATGCATACATTATTTTTAGTTCTGCCAACAATCGAAAACAATAACAACAAGAGCGGTGGAGTATCTATATGGGTGTGTGAAGTATTGTTGTCTTACCAATTGGCGTCATTGCAGTCAAGCTTCTCCGGTTAGGATTCCTTCAGTGTTCTGGTTCAGAGGATATTATACGGGGAGCCAATTCCACAGAGGTCTCTTCCCCTCTCAAACCAAGCCTGCTGATTAACATAACTACAAACTTTTGATAAAGCCCATTCACCGCTAAAAATCATGCTTCTCCCGTGTTGACAGACACGAAGGCGTCCGGAGCGCTGCGGTCTCGAAGGGTCTGTCTACGTGACGGCTAATGCAGTGTTTACTGATAAAATTTAGGGGTCATATAAGCCAAAGAGCAGGGTTGGGGCAGGTATCACTGTCTAATTGTGTGGAAAGTTACAGGCTTCTATGATTTAAAATTCATTTGCCCTTTATACACGAAAGTAAAGTCGCATTTCTCGAAATTATCTCTATATATTAAACTTGTCAGCCAAATTTATTACCGAGAATGTTTAGTGAATGTTTTGGATTAATTATTGACTGTGCGTTTTAATGGTGCATTTGATTTGTAGATGTATGAAGACTAAATAATATTGGTGTCTTGCTTGAATCATATAATTAATTTTAGTTAAATACATTACTCTGACGCTGGCTTCCATACGCATATATATTTTATTTAGTCATTATCTACATTGTTTCCAGAAAAATATCTGGAGGATAGAAGGAGGGAAAATTGTCTCTGAATTGTTGCTTTTCTTATAGTTTTGCTCTTTAGGCCTCTGAAATGATTAATCAATATCTGTCAGGAGAAATCAGCCACACTGGACATAAGCATATGTTTATAAAGGGATGCACTTGTTTTTGCTAAAGGGACATGTTGGGAACCATTGCTTTGTTATGTTTTATTATTAATTAGAGTTAATGTGGATTTTTATGATTTTAATGTGCCCCAACGCATGATGTCAACATGTTCAACAGTCCCGTTAGTCTAAAACTGTACGTACATAATGTATTCTTAGTACCAGCATTAGCATGTAGCATGTATTTGGGGCACAGATAAGGTCAAGCAGTGAAGTTTTAGCCACTATATCAAACATTATAGTATCATGAAGAGTCTGTGTGCTCAGGTGAAACAGTATATACTGCCAGGGACAGAGACACTGCTCTGTTTCTTCACCACGCTGCATTGTTGAGTTTGTTTTGTGAAAGCCTCCGCTGACACATCATCGATGAGTCACAAAGTGTTTGTACAACAGGACATGTGAGACGGTGCCAACTATCAGTGCATTTAGTGGGTCAGGACAGTTCAGCTGTGGTTTGGTGTCCAGAGAAGTTTACAGAAGACGACACACAACAAAGTAAACCAGAGTTGAACTGTTTGTCATTGTGTCAGAGTCATGTTTGTTTTCTTACTATGTCAGCTTCAAACTAACTCATCATTTATACTAAGATGTGATAGGACAGGGTACGATACAATAGGATAGGCTAGGGTATAATATTATACACTACCCTAGGATAGGGTACAATACGACACAATACATTAGGATAGGGTATAATATGATAAGATACCATAGGGTAGGGTACGATACGATACGATACGATATGAAAGGATAGGATAGAATAGAAAAAAGGATAAGATAGGGTACATTTTGATACGATACCCTAAGATAGGGTACAATACAACACAATACGATAGAGAACGATACAATAGGATAGGGTAGGGTATAAAATGATACAATACCATAAGATAGGGTACAATGCGACACAATACAATGGGGTACGATAGGATAGCATAGGAAAAAGGATAGGATAGGGTACAATATGATATGATACCCTAGGGTATGGTAGATACAATAGGAAAGGGGTACGATACAATACGTTACAATAGGTACAAAACAATAAGATATTGTTAATTTGCTGTGTATTTTTATTGTATAGAGGTAGCAGCAGTAATACAATAGTAGCAGTAGAAGTTAGATTAGTACAAGTAGTAGTGTTAGTGTTAGTGGTACTAGTAGT